AAATATATTTTTGGCCATAGGTTAATGCTTGATAAAAGGGTTTGATAATTTTTCTTACCTCTATCAAAACATACTGTACCAACATAGAATCCGGAAAAGGTCGAGAGTGGCCCAATGATTAGCACCCTCTTGCCTCAAAAAATAATAATAATAAAATTGCGATCTGTACTTTGATGCTGTGGGTGCGTTATAATGGTAATGGCCAAAGCCCAGTATTCGATTTTGCGGTGGGTGATGTTACTTAGCTGCCTTCTATCACTTCAAATTTAGGGACTGCTAACGCCGATAGCTTTGGGCTAATCTCCTCTTGAACGTAACGAGAATGATAATTGATAAAAGAAAAACAATATTATGGAATACCATACTAGAACTCTGGTTTGAAAAAAAGTATGGTAATAATATAGAGTCCTTGTGTCTTTGTCTTATGAAAATGTCTCGTTTTAGATCGCCACCAGCCGGTCATTTAATCAGTGAACTCATTACTGGGAAGTAGACCAGCAATGAAGGTTGATCAGCACATTGCTACAGTAATTGTAGTGACGATGACAAATCTCGACATTGAGAGGATACATAATATCGTTTATTGTTTGTTTACACTTGTACTAGTTTTCGTTTTCATTCAGCGTACAAGTTAATTTTCTTTAAGCTTATATTTTTAATACTGTGGAGATTCAACTTGTAGTTTCTTAGAGTTTTACTTGTGAACGGAACAAATTAAGTTAGAACCTTGGAATTGGGAATGAGATTATTCATTCTATTTCTCTCTGTCTGCTGTTAACTTTGTAAACCCTGGCTATGGACGTTTATATTCTAAGACCATGTTAAACGTATAGTGGAAAGGAAAATTATGTTAGAGGTGAATACATTTTCTAAGGGTGTGACAAGGATAGAAGAAGTCCTCTCCTGCAACAAGGGCCTTTCCTGCAACCAGGGCTCTTGTCAGCTACAATGAGAATTATACTTGTGTTCTTGATCCATTCTTCGTCTTGAGAGATTGAAAGGTGGCTAGAAGAAATATCAGTTACCACACCATCCCAGTTTCTTTCATTTACCTTCTTCATGCAAGAGCATAGAATGGTAATAGTGGTTCATGATGATAAAGACCAATCTGGAATTCTGAGATCGAATATATATCGAATACCTCAGGCATTGAAAAGGGTTGATTTTTATCAGGCAGAAAAGTGACGTACATATGGTGGTTGAACTCAGCATGAAAGAGTTGCAAGTCCACCAAACGGAGCAGTCAACATTTCATCAAGATTCTGGGGACCATTCCAGATCAGTAAGATCTACTGGTGGCATCTTTGGGCTGTGAATGCATTATAAGGGTGATGGCCGAATTCCACTTTTCAGTCAGACAAGTGTAGCCCATAAGTTGTCAGTGGATGCTGTAGACTATCTGCTTTCCCTCTAATCTGTCAGTTGAAATAAAAAACAAGTTTTGTGTTACAACAAATGAACTAATTATCCAGACTACACCAGAAAAATTCCTTATAGACAAGTTTATCGGGGAGAAGATGGAGGAGATAACTCTGCAAATATGGTAACAACACATGAGACTCAGGGACATTTTTCTTTAAAAGTACTGGTGCTGTGCCAGTGCTTAGCTTTAACAGTGGATATTCAGCTAGTTAGGTTTTAGTTGAAAAGAAACAGTAAGGAAACATATGATGTAGATCATCAGTGTAATTAGAGTCACTGCAGCGGTTCTACATCTGAAAGTGGCTTCCCAAACACTTGAGGTAAGTTCTTGCTAATAATTTGAACTCAAATGAGAAATATGATCTAAGAAAATTACTCTTGGTGTTTGTCAGACCGTATAACCATTTAGGTAGTCCAACAATAATATGACATAACTCATACAAAAGTGACATCTGAAGAACCAAATAATACAACCTTAACAAAGTGTTTGGCCTTGTACGGTAGTTTTTGTGAAAAAGGAAATGCGTAAAAGATCTATGTGGAATTTTGGTGGATGAACACAGTTATATGCATCAATGCTTTCTCTTAATCAAGGTTTTCAAACGAGACCCAAAACTTGAGCGCTTTCGAATATTTCTCTATTCTTCTTTAAGAGAATAAAGGGTTATGTTTAATGAATTTAATGAAATATATAGACACGGATGTCGAAGTCACGTAAACCGAAACCTCAATATGAATTAGCGTTGAGAAATAGCCAATGATAACCTAGAGTTGTTGGTGTCAGGTTTAGATTGTGCCAAAGAGATGTGTACAGTTCATAAAAGACTTAAGTGTGATAATAGTTATAAGAAATGTTAACCAATCTTTATAAAGATAAACTTAAAAATAAAATAATGGCAAAAGGTGGTGGGAAATAGAAAATAATGATAATGTGACGCAATATATAGGAAATAATACCAATATAGAGATTTTAAAGTATGAGTAATACTAATAATTTAAAGTAAGTTTAATTATGAATTTAGTTTTGAAAATCTCTTCATTGACATACGAAGGTCAACAATTCCGGGATCGAGATTGATGCCATTTGGCGTTACAGTATTTAATAGTGCTATCCAGTAAGCTTTATTAATTTCCCTGTTTCTGTAAAATGTAAAATTTGTCTCTATACCTGTCAGTTTAATGTCTTCAAGAGAGTCTTCAGGCATGTTAAAGTGTTTTACGACCGTAAGTTCTTTGTTTGTTTTGATTGCTGATTTGTGGTTTTTAAAACGTTCCCGTATAGTTGTTTTGGTTTGACCTACATATTGAAAGCTGCATTTTCAGCATTGGGTTAAGTAAATAACGGTTTTTGTTGAACGGGTTATGGATTTAGTGATCTTGAACTACTTTTGGTTGTCTTTAATGGAAAATTCGTCTGTTTCCTATTCGACTATACTCGTATCACGTACACTTTTCCTTTATATTCTTGTAGCTGTATTTCGTTTTCAGTTACTCTCATTTAAAATCAGTTTGGTAACCTGTGACGTTCATTGACTCTTTATAAAGGCGTAAACCGAAACGTCGGGTACACGTAATTAAACATTTTCTCTGAAGTTGTTTGTCGCCTTCATTAAATAAGAGTTTACATTTGTTTATTGGTTGTTTCATGAATAGGTCTGCCCGTATACGACACCACAAAGATGGCATGTGAAACTAGAAACAACATTCTTTTCTGCACTTTTTAAACAAGACCTTGTGATATGAATATTTTTCCTGCCATCGTGTTACACGTTTTTGTTTTGCCTTTTAAGACTGATATTAATGATGCGTTTTTAAAGTTTTCCTGGGTTTTCTGTATCATTTTTATAAAGGCCTGGTTATTTGACCGCATTTCGAATACGTACAGAAAGAAATCTACAAATAAAAACTAGTTTTGTATAAGGCTTACGATAATCTTTGTTTGTTTTTGGTTTTGTTAAGCATAAAGCTAAACAATAGGCTATTTGTATTATGCTCACCAATGGTATCGGATCCTAATCTTTAGCGTTATAAGCCTTCAGACTTACCGCTGAGCCATCGTGGGCCGTTAGCGATGGGCCGTCTCTAGTATATTGTTTTCTAAAGCATTATACATATCAAATAAAAAACAAAATGCTAGAGTAAGTACAGTATTTTGAAGTGAACTTCATAAAAAGGGTGACAAGTATTTACTCTATAATTACATAGAAAAGTTGTAAACTGGTATTCCAAACATAAATATGTCGTCGACAAATCTATCTCCACGTGGCTAATTTGTGTACTGATCTAATGAACGTCTTTTCAATATGGACATGATAACCTACTAAGTTAAAGCGTTGACCGATATGTCCGGTTAGACCTGCCTAATATTCATGCTCATCTATAAAGTTCATGTTCAAATATACTCCTTCTCCAACACGGATGGAGACATAAAACGACTCATCAACGAGACTGAATAAAATATTTTCTGAATTAATTATGTTAGAAGTGATTTCTAGTTTGTTCTTTTGAGAAACGCAAGAGTGATTGTTAAGTGAGTTCAAAAACAATGGTAGCTTTTGTGTAGATGAATCATAGGCCGACACAACTGGTCTGAAAGGAACACCTTCCTTACAGTCCTTCGGGAGGCCATGAAATCTAGATCAGATTGTGAATAGATGTGAACTGTTCAGTGTCGTCTTAATGATCTTTTTTTGCATTTTTTTCATATAAAATGATAAAAGTAGTCACGTTTGTTAAACATATCTTACTTGAGTATCTATCATTTCAAGACAATAGAGCATTATGGGTAATCCTGTATTTAAGAATTGAGTTATGTTCAAACATAATCAGATATACAGACTCTTCATGTTAATCTGTAATTAAAATATCTAAAGTATTAGTTATGTTTTATCGTGATATAATTATTAATAAGTTCGGTATTTTTCAATTTAAAATTATCATATCAAACGTTTTCTCCTCATATCAATGGCCGAGCATAGCCTTGGTTAGGGTATCAGCGTGAGCAACACGCTCCATACGTCTTTGCTGTGGGCGCGTTAAAAAAATTGTATTCAATCTCTACTGGGTTCAAAGAGTCAGACAATGCTCTTATTGCGGCGGGCGCTGTTAGCTGTCTGCCTTCTCCCTAGTTAGTAGCTCAAAATTAAGTACGACTACACCTGAGCCACAGAGATCTCTGGCTTTCCGTTAAGATTGAAAACCACAATTCTGATATCGAAATATGTGTATTCATGATATTATATGGTTTAAAGCCAACTTCGAGAAGACATGATTAATACATGCACACCAACTAGTTGATAACATCAATCTACAGATTATGAAATAGTGTGATTATGTATCCTTACATAAAGAATATACCACATTTTATAATTGCGTAACTTCCACATGCAGCTATCTATGTATAGAACACGTTAGCCTCGCTCTGTTCATTGCCTTGCTTTAGTTTTATATACGTCCTTGCTATATCTTTAACATTTTGCATAAATTGTTTTGAAAAAATATTGCATTTGAATATGGAACATAAGATAAACTTAAAATTTCATGTTTTACATTTTTCTTTCTCAAATCTGTTTTAATAGGATGAGTCAGGAACAGACCAAGCACCACCTAAAGAACCTGACCTCGGCGTTACAGCTCCAAAATTTAAAATTGCCAAAAAAGAAGTGAGTATTATATTTACTTTTTAAATAAGCATACGTAATTTGACAGAGCGTTTCTACGTAAATAATATAAATACACGAAAAAACACGTGAATGTTGAGTAACTGATGTTAGATTTTTGGTGTAAAGAATTAAAGTTTAGAATAGCTATACGCCATTGGTCGGTATGCTCGTCTGTGGCGTATTATTTAAGGTTATATGGATGGTATTTCGTGTACTAGGTATAAAGATTCCATGGGTTTTAAGGTATAAGAAAAACAGCGAGGCAAGATTAGTGAATCTTAGTTGTTTTCGACTATACCTAGCGATGATATGTTGTTTAGTTACCTTCTATCTGCTTTAAAGCGTAAAAAAAAACTTTCTTACTCAAAGTTTCTTAAGTTTATGTAACAAGAACAAATTTACTGACTCATATATATGCCCCCAAAACACCGAAGGACCTAGCTTAACGACCTAACCTATTGTTCACAAGCTCACAGAAGATAAATAGACCTATTCTAGTAAAATAACTTTTTTTCGAGAATACACGAAGTAAACAGATTTAGCTTAGTGCTTTAACTTCACTGTTTCAATAATACATAAAAAAACAGATCTAGCTTACTAATCTACCTTCATTGTTTTAATAATACAGGAAGGAAACAGACATAACTTAGTAAATTAACTTCATTATTACATTAATACATGACAAAAACAGGTCTAGCTTAGTAAACTAACTTTATTGTTTTAAGAATACAGGACAAAACAGACATAGCTTAGTAATTTACCTTCATCATTTTGATAATATAGGAAGGAAAAAGACATAGCTTAGTAATCTAAATTCATTGTTGTAAGAATACAGGAAGATACCAGACCTAGATTCGTTATCGAACTTGATTGTTTGAATAATACATGAAAGAAAGAGACATAGTTTAGTAATCTAACTTGATTGTTTGAACAATACATGAAAGAAAGAGACATAGTTTAGTAATATAACTTCATTGTTTGAATAATACATAAAAGGAAACAGACCTAGTTTAGTAATCTAACTTCATTGTTTTAAGAATACAGGAAGAAAACAGACAACAGACATAACTTGGTAATTTAACTTCATTGTTTTAAGAATAGACGAAGTAAACAGACATAGCTTAGTAATTTACCTTCATCATTTTGATAATATAGGAAGGAAAAAGACATATCTTAGTAATCTAAATTCATTGTTGTAAGAATACAGGAAGATACCAGACCTAGATTCGTTATCGAACTTGATTGTTTGAATAATATATAAAAGGAAACAGACCTAGTTTAGTAATCTAACTTCATTGTTTTAAGAATACAGGAAGAAAACAGACAACAGACATAACTTGGTAATTTAACTTCATTGTTTTAAGAATATACGAAGTAAACAGACATAGCTTAGTAATCTAGCTTCATTGTTTCAGTAATACACGAAGAAAACAGATCTAGCCTAGTAAATTAACTTCAATGTTTTATTAATACAGGAAGAAAACTGACAAAGTATAGTAATCTAACTTCACTGTTTAAATAATACATGAAAAAAAAAGATGTAGCTCATTAAACTACCTTCATTGTTTGAATAGTACAGGAAGGAAAGAGACCTAGTTTAGTAATCTAACTTCGTCGTTTTAAGAGAACAGGATAAAACAGACCTAGCTTGGTAGTCTACCTACACTGTTTTAATAATGCAGGAAGGAAACAGACCTAACTTAGTAAATTAACTTCATTATTACATTAATACATGACAAAAACAGGTCTAGCTTAGTAAACTAACATTACTGTTTTAAGAATACAGGAAACAAACAGACATAGTTTAGTAATTTACCTTCATCATTTTGATAATATAGGAAGGAAACAGACATAGCTTAGTAATCTAAATTCATTGTTGTAAGAATACAGGAAGATACCAGACCTAGCTTAGTAATCCAACTTCATTGTTTTAAGAGTACAGGAAAAACACAGATCCAGTTAAGTAATCTAACTTCATTATCTGAATAATACATGAAGGAAACAGGCATAATTTTAGTAATCTAGCTTCATTGTTTTAAAAATACAGGAAGAAAACAGGCCTAGCTTAGTAAACTAGCTTCACTGTTTTAAGAGTACAGGAAAAAAAAACAGGCCTAGCTTAGTAAACTAGCTTCACTGTTTTAAGA